GTTATTGAAAACTGTTTCATGCAATTTCAGTAATGAATAATTAAATTGTTTTTCTTGTATTTTTATATTTTGTGAATATGCTTAAACACTCTCAGAAATAAAGGTACGTGAGCTGTCACCGGGATGGTACCTTCTCAAAAGGTACAAATTTGTACCTAAAAGGTTTATATTAATACCCCAATGGTATATAGTAATACCTAAGAAGTGTTCCTCTTAAATTTTTTATGTACCAATATATTCTTTTAAGGTACCAATATGGACCCTTTAAGTACAAATGTGTACCTTTTGAAAAGGTACCACCCCAGTTAACAGCTCGTGTACCTTTATTTCTGATAGTGTCACTTACTAATATTTTTCTATTTCCTGTAGGTGGCAACAAGAAGACTGAGAAACCACTGATTCATTATCATCAAGGGTCATTTTGGAAGAAAACAAGTAGCCTAAAGCCATTGGATACCATTATTTATTTATTCATTGTTGTATTCAATTCAATTTATTTTTATTTCATCTATATTTTTTAAGCGCTGATGCCGTTCAAATTATAACACTTCCCTAAAGACATTATAATTTGAACGGCATCTGCGCTTATGTTAGTCTTTTTTTATTATTCCCGAGGTTTCCATAATCCTGGACCAGGCCGTATCCTGAGCAGCTGCTGTGGTGGTTATGGAGGAGTGGAGAACATGACTGATCCTTGTAAGACCCCAGTAAAAGACGAGTTCTTGTATTGATCCTGAAGAAACAGCCTGTACACCAGCCCATGACCGCTCCCACCTGCAGTTTCTCCACGTGCCTAGACTGCAGCTCTGCACCAGACGCTTGGGCATAGGAGAAAAGGTCATGCCCAACTGAGCCTAGTTTCTCTCTCTTTTTTAATTCTTCACTTTCGTCACTTGGTGAAGTTTTTTCCTTGCCGCTGTCACCACTGGCTTGTATGGTTCAGGACCTGATGGCTTTGCTCTTCAGTATTTAAACTTTCAGCAGTAAAATTTAAACCACACTGAACTGAGCTAAACTGAACTGAGCTTAAGCTTTGAAAACTGAACTGACACTTTCAATTTCTATAATCTTCTATGTGAAGCTGATTTGACACAATCTACATTGTAAAAGCTCTAAATAAAGATAAATTGAATTTCTATAGCACTTTCAAAATGTTGTTTGTGTCAAAGCAGCTTAACAGAGAAGTTCTAGTAAACTGAACTGTGTCAGTCCAGTTTTCAGTGTTGAAGTTCAGTTTAGTTCAATTCAGTGTGGTTTAAACTTCACTGCTGAAAGCCTAAACACTGAAGAGCAAATCCATCAATGCGCAGCTCCACAAGTCCCAAACCAAGCAAGCCCCAGTGGTGACAGTGGTGAGGAACAAACTTCCCCAATTGACTAAAGTGAGGTGACTAAAGTACAAATCATGTATGAGTGGATGTAATAACCATCCATTAAGTATCAATTTAATTATCTACTAAATACAAATAATGTATGTGAATGATCATGCAGCATGATCTGAAAATGTGCATTTGAAACCAAGAAAAGTAAAAAAAACTGTAAATAATGTGTAAAAAGTTACTGAAGTGCTAAAAACAACAGCACTTTTGTAATTGTGCTGTTGTTAAAATATCAAGCAATTAGTACTCTACTGTGGAATTTAACAACACAGCCGTTTGATTGAAGAGAAAGAACTGCCACAAACATGAAACTTTCCATTCACTCTCTGAATTCAAGAATGCTACAAATTAACTGTTTGGTTTCTCAGCTAACATCAACATACACTCCTATCCAAAGCCAGATATATTAAAACACATTCTGGCCTTTGAATCAGGAACCGGTTAGATATCCCATAGGGATGAAGAAAATTCCAGCACAACTAAACATTCATCCAATATGACTTTATCTAAAAGTCCTATTTTGTTTTGTCTTCCATTACGATGAAATGCTTGAGGAAAAATTGCATTCATCTATTATAAACCTTGAGGGAATGATTTTGTTTTGCTGTCATTAGAATTGTTTGGCCTTCATCTGCTTTTATAATAGAACAAATCTCAAGGAGTTGATGTTCATGCTGGGTCCGTGTACAGCTGCTAATCATATTTTGTGTAGTATTGTGATCATTCACATTAGACAGTCCCACCTCGTAAGTCTGTTGCCTCACCATTGATCAGCTTCTTCCAGTCAAATGCAGTTCACAGCTCCCTCATGAGGTAAGAATAAACCCCAAACATGTGCACTTTTGCTGGAGCAACTGTGTCTGCTGTCATACAGTACATGGCAGTGATCGCTTGATATTTTATTCAGTTTTATTCAATCATCTGTAAAGTCAGCGCTTGACAGCTACAAATATATATGAAGGCCTGTAGTTAAATAGTCTGGCCTGTGGGCATCAAGTTTTTGTTCTCCAGGGACACTTTATGACTCAATTTTATTTTATTCATTTGAATAGGAACCTTTTGCAAACTCTCCAGTGCTCATATAAAGTGTTAAGATGAAAACACATGGAAAGAAATTGCCTCATTTAAAGGGTCAAAAAAGCAAATAAAGTATATGTGATGCTGGTTGATCCCACTAAAAGAAAGTTTCCAACGAAAAACAGCCATCATTGCCAAGGTTTTTTTTTCTTTTGTCACGATTGCTACTCAGTTTAATAACTTTAATCAAATTTTAATTGTTTGATGATTTTGTGTGATATAATCCAACCAATCCCCCCCACCCCCACCCCCCTCATTCTTTTTTTATTTACTATAACATTCATTCATTCATTCATTCATTTTCCTTTAGCTTAGTCCCTATAGTCATTAGAGGTGGCCACAGCGGAATGAACCGCCAACTTATCAGCATATGTTTTACACAGCGGATACCCTTCCAGCTGCAACCCAGCTCTGAGAAATATCCATACATACTTAATTACATACACTACAGCCAGTTTAGTCTAATTCACCTATAGCGCATGTCTTTGGACTTGTGGGGGAAACCGGAGCACCAAGAGGAATCCCAAGCCAACAAAGGAAGAACATACAAACTCCACGCAGAAATGCCAACTGGTCCAGCTGGCACTTGAACCATATGACCACCTTGTTGTGAGGTGACAATGTTTACCACTGAGCCACTGTGTAGCCCTTTTCCATAACATTATAGGGATTTTCTGGAAAATATAGCATCTGGACCAAAATTGTTGAAATTAAAACCAAGTTGGTTTTAAATTAAAAATCTTGAAAAGCTTAGATGATTAAGAACGATTACAGGAGTTTTAACTATTTTTAGTCTGTGAGCAATATTTCACTTATGAATGAGATACATTAAACAATCATCACTTTTTTGTATATTATTTATTTATTACATTTTGATTGATTTATTGTTACTTGATTGAGTTACTTTTTGTAAGACTATACAGAATTTTATGTTTCTTAAAGACTAAAAAACAAAGTTATGCTTTTGAAATAAGTCTCTTCTTTAGGCAAGAAATACTACTAATAATAATAATAATAAAAACATTCATTTTTCTATGAAAAAATTGAAGTAGGGTATGCAGGGCTCCCACACTTCTTGAAAGTACACTGAAAGAAATGATGTCTGCAAAATGTATATTGGTTGACTTTAAAGAAACAAATTACATTTTCTAACCCTAACCCTAACTTAAATTTGCTTAAATTCAACCCAAATAAATTGTTTACAACCACTGTTTACAACATTTTTTATAACCACTTATTTTTATTTTTTTATTTAGTAAATAGAAGGAATCATCTATGAATGTTTTTTCAGTGCACTTGAAAGTACTTGAATGTGAAAAAAAACAAAAGTGCTTGAATTAAATTTGAAATAAAATTTGTTCATGGTGTATTTTCAGCAATTGTACTGTGCTGCTGTCAGAAACAGAACCAAGAAATGATCAATTCTTAATTTAAAAATCTTACATTTAAAATTCGTAAAGGACTATGCAATGATGCACATTTTATCGATATTTCAGAAATTACATTTGAAGATTATCAGTATTCCATTTAACAGATTTTATTAAAGTTTGACTCTTTAAAAGAGTCAATTTAGTTTTGAAAATGACATTTTCAAAACATCATCATTACTTTGATATTTTAATGTAAGTGTTCAGTGTAAGATATTTTAACGTAAATGTTCAGTGTAAGTGAAATGTTAGGTATAGTAAGGAGTTTGGTATAGTAAGGAGTTTTTATTATGATACTTTTGGGGGAATTTAGAAAGGTGCTTAATTTAAAATTAAAGGTGCTTTAAAAGATCATTGAAAGCCATTGAAAGTCATTGAAACATGCTGTTCATGAAAGAGTGGGAACCCTGTGTATGTTTCAAATGCTGTATTAATGTGTAATCACGTGCCATTGAACTTGCTGGGTCAGTTGGCATTTCTGTGTGGAGTTTGCAGGTTCTCCCCATGTTGGCGTGGGTTTTCTCTGGGTGCTTTGGTTTCCCTCAAAACTCCAAAGACATGTGTTATAGGTGAATTGGGTAAGCAAAATTGGCCATAGTTTATTTGTGAATGTGAGAGTGTATGGGTGTTTCCCAGTGATGGGTTGCAGCTGGAAGGGCATCAACTGTCTAAAACATGCTGGATAAGTTGGTTCATTCCGCTGTGGCGACCCCTGGTGAACAAAGGGACTAAACCGAAGAAATGAATGAATAAAATAGTATCAGATTTAGTGGCCATCATTTGTTTTTTTTAGGACAGAATGAAGTTACTCTGCCCTCTGCTGGTCCCGTGTTGAAAAAGCAAGTCGTTTGACCGGACTCCACTTTCATTCAGCTCATGATGATAATTCATAGGTTGTTTAAATCTACACTATTTTCAAGCTCTTAATTAACCACTAATAACACTGATAACCCTAATCTTTCTCAAAAGGACATGCCTAAAACTATAACCAACCCAGTATGATGCAGTAAATATGCGACCTCTAACCTCTTATGACTAAACACATTCCTATGATGCATAAAGAACATAAAAAATGGCAAAAAATAGCATGTTTCTTTTGTTTTAGGTCAGTGGAAAGCAGATCTGTGCGACCTGTGTGTTCCCATAGACACGGGGCACGGGAGGAATGCTCATGGGCGACAGGTGCTCCTCCCTTCAGGGAATATCATTAGCTCGGGGACTCCGATCCCCCCACCAGGATAAACCTTTGACAGTGACAAGGTGTGTATTAGTGACGTATAGATGGAGATTGACATTTAGTTTCAGTCTTCATGGCAGTTGACGCACATCACTGCTTTATTTGCTTGTTTGCATCTAGGAAGTGTGATGCAGAGGTGTGGTTTTAGGTACACATTCAGGAAAGGCCAGTTCCCTGATCCCTCCCCTCGCCTCTTGTCTCTGGATGCAGTTTCTAAGCTCTCAGATGATTCTGTTTCAAGCTGAGCCCACCAGTCTGCACTCAGGTGAGCATTTTTATTTTATATACACCGAAGCCTATTGAGGAATGTTGCTCTGTTTTAAAATTCAGCTGGCCTGGTTTGATGTGAAATGGGGTTTAGGTATTAGATGTCAGTGGGGTGAAGGCAATCGGAATTGTTGGTCCATCAAAGAAAGATGTTAGGATTAGATCAATTTCAAATCATTGGGATGATTGACATACTTGTTCAGAGGTTTAATAAATCATTAATTTTAATCTGATAACCTAAAATTAGTACAGTGAAATAAATATTGCGCTTAAATTTAAAGAGATACTTTAATCAAAACTGAAAATTCTGTCATCATTTACTCAACTTCTGTCTGTTTGAGTTTCTCTCGTTCATTAAACTCAAAAGAAGATATTTCCAGAATGTTGGAAACCTTTAGCCATTGGCATCTATAGTAATTTTCCCCTATAGTATGGATGTCAGTCTTTATTCAAAATATCTTGTGTGTTCAACAAATAGAAACTGGAACTAGTTCTAAAAATAGAACTTTGAACCAGTTTATTGTGATGGTATTTTTTAAATTTTATTATTTTTATTTTTGAAAGGTAAATTATCTCTTTAACCTAACACGACACTTCTCATCTCAGTACTTGGAGTTGCTGTTTGTTGATTTTGTCACAAACTTTTAGAAAAGACGTGTCACTTATGCATTACTAAGAAACCTGCTCTGGCACATTCTCAGATCATTAATAGAATATTTTCCTCCAGGATGTTTTAAAGAGTGTCTAATGGCATTTTTTTGTATTCAACCCACATTTCTAATTTAATCCACATGTATATCTTAATAAAACAGACATCATTTCACTGTGACTTATAATGATTCAGAATCATTCTGGTAAACGTAAACTATATTTTTAAATTTATAAAAAAAGATACTTTTAAATGATGAAATAGAAAATAAAAATTACATTCGATAAATATTTTAAAAAGAAAACAGTATGTTTACAAATAATCAACATCTGTATGCAGCATAAAATGTCCCTGATTTTATCTACTCCTTCAAATACTTTCATTTAAATAACAATGATACTGTATAATCGCAGTCGTTTTGATGTTTTGTCGTCAATAAATAGTAGCAGATAAACTTGCCAAACAGGAATAGCTGATAAGTGACGTTGTGATGAAAATATTCATTCAGTTGGTCACCTGAAGTAAAGGTGTGTCCAACCAAAAGCACATCAAAATAATACTAAAAAGCAAATATCAATTCATTTTTTAATTTCGTTACATGCCATATCTACGTTTCATTAAAAGTATTTACAGTATTTCTAGAAGTATTTGAGAGGAAGTCACTTTGTTCTGGTTTGATTTGGAAAAAAGGCACTTAAAATATGTATCTAAATTTAGTTTGGGTGTGTATGAAGTATTCTATACAAACAATTGAGAATATTGTTGCTCACCTCATGTTACTGCAATGCAGTAACATGGTTGAATGGTGTATGTTACACTTGCATCAAGAGGGCTTAGATACACTTCAGTGAAAAGGACTGAACAAAGGACTGCTAAAATGAAGTTTCTGAGAAATAGACTGAAGAGCACTTTCATTGCGTAGATGAGAGGCATCTTAGGATTTTGCTTCACTCAAATGTTGATTGATTTTTAAAAATCTTTCATCTTTTGATTGATTCGAGCTTTAATAGTGCAGTGGTAAATTAAATATTCTGTTACTTTTATACAGGGAGGTAGTTTTCATCCACATGCTTTAATAAACAAACAGAAAAAATATGATAAATACACCATGAAGAAACACCATCTGAATATTTTAAGTTATGACCAAGGTCAAACTAGAATTAAAAAAATATTGGATAACTCTGTACTTATAAACCTATTGAGAGGAATGACAATAAATTTCCAAATCTATAAAATCAATAGAGATAAACATGGTAGTCAACAAAACAAATATAATAAGATATATTATATATTCAAATGAGATCAAATAAGTGCAGGGTTCTGGCTTTAATTAGGTAATATATATCATTAATAATGTTTACCTGTACAAATACTAAGGAAAATATTCAATGCATGCAACACCTAATGACATTACTTTATGAATTTAAAGTCCACATGAGCTGGAAGTTGCTGAGACCTTTATTCCAGTACTTTAGAATATAAATACTGATACTGAAATTGAATATTGAATAGAGGTGTTGCTTTTCTTTTGCGTGTCATTCCTCAAGTCATGGTTAAGAATATTGTGGCTGAAGCTGTCAAACTGACATCAGCATTGAAGGACTGCCACTCCAAACACTGAAGCAAATGGTCAGACTTTTACTGAATTAAGTTGTATGGATTAGTTGTTCACTTCAATTGAATTCTGGTGCTCTCTCCTCTTCCACTACAGTCGATCCTATTTTTAAATTTCCAGATCTCCTCTATATGGGACTTGAGACAGGTGGCGCCCACAGATGACAGTAGTTATTACACCACTGGCCTAATACCACTCTCACAGCTCTCTACCCCGCCTCACTCACTACACTTATATAGCGCTTTTTAAAATAATTAGCATTCCAAAGCAGCTTCACAAAAGGTGCACATCATTACATTACAGACAAAACCAGAAAATGAGTTGGGTAAAGGGTGGGCAGTATATAAACATAGTTAATCTGCAGTTATACAGTGTACTGTGTGTCCTTCCAAAAAGGTGAGGTCTATATGTATAACACGTTTAACAATGTGTCTGTGTATTAAATGCGTGTTATCCTTGAAGTTCTCGGATGGTTGGCATCATTACTTCACAGTTCTTGGATCTGTTTAGAAATTGTTCAGCTAAATATTAACAATATGCGCTAACAAAATAAACATTATAAATATTTATTTGATTTCACGCTGAATTTCTGTTATAGGGTATATGCACAACTAGTGTTTCTTCCCATGCCGATAAACTACCGGTGAATGGTTAATGTGACTTTTTTCTATTTTATATGGTTCCTTTTACAGCATCAATGTTTTAAAGTAATTAAAATACAATCCATGAAATAAACTTCAGCATTCATTTGTTTAAGCGTAAAATGAAACGAAAAGCCTTTTACATGCACGCATCCATCAGGATCAGCAGGCTAGCGCAGAAACTCCATTGAAAATACTGGTGCAAAATAACTGTTTATATTTTAAAGACATGGCGCGGGAAAATGTTATTTAATGAAGTGTTTCTTGTACAATCTGAGACCAACTTTCTATCGTCTAACAATCAGGATGTGGAGATCATACATTTTTTAAAGAAAACAAACATTAAATTCTGCAACTTCATGCAGTTCACCTGAAACAATTGACCCAGGTTACTACAAAATTAAAAGTCCTTCTGCATATACCCTATTCTTAAGTTTTGGAAGAGCAAATTAATGCTTGAAAAGAAACTTATTTATATCTGCACAAACCCTGTTTTGAAATTGTCACATTTAAAACAGATATGCACAGTGACAACATGCAAAGTATTTTTTTTTTTTTTTTGGCAGGAAGCAAGTATGAAATCACTACTGGCCATCACACTTTCACTCCTCCTGATACTTCAATCTTTCCAGCAAGTGTCCAGTGCTAATATACCTGATGTATGGGAAAGAAGCAATGAGGCAATTGAAGGCAATGAAACACAGCCATCTAGTCTGGAAACCACTGATCCACCAATGGGAGAAAGTATGGAAGACACAGTAAGCACTGAAGACACACAACCCGACCCAAGCAGTTCAGAAAATGAAAACCAACGACTTGACCCATTTTTAAGCGGAGGGGAATCCCCGGAAAATTCCAGTTGGATCCAACCAATGGATCAGAACCTGGAACAGTCTAGTAACGAGACAGAGGAAGGCAGTTCTGAAGATCTGTTTTTTACACCCCCGCCTCCTTTGATCACATTTAACTCAAGCACCGTGATGTCAAAAACAACAGCAGAATCCAATGAAACGCTCAACGCAAATACATCTGCTCCAAATAGCACAACTATCACTCCAAAACCTGAGAATACCACCACTGAGAGCAACTTCGAGGAATCGGGTTCTGGAAATTTGACCACTAACAGCACTACTAAGAGTCCAGCCACCACAACAGAAGAGGTCAGCATCCAGAACAAAACTACAGAAGGTCCAACTGCAGCACCAACTGAAGCACCAACTGATATCTCTGAGAACGCCACAACACCCGTTCTGGACAGTAAGGATCTTGAAGCAAACCTGACTATTGACACCAGAGAGAGTTCTGAAGCAGGTAAGACTCACATATCAAAATTGCTGAAGAATTAATCATGTATGTCAATTCAGTGGCTGAAGAGTTTTGTCATGTGATATTATGATTCAACAAGAAAGTAATCCCTTGTGAATGTGTGAGACATCAGATTCATTAGTCAGTATAAGGAAATAAATAGAAGAATAACACATCACAGTGAACAGTTAAACTCCGCCATCATTTCCTGACGTTCCACTTGTTCAAAACCTGTTTGAGATTCTTTCTTCTGTTAAACACAAAAGAAGATAATTTGAAGAAAGCTGGAAACAACCATTGACAACCTTTCATCAAAATATCTTCTTTTGTGTTTAACAGAAGAAAGAAATAGTTTTGAAACAAAGGGTGAGTAAATAGTGAGCATTTCTTTTTCATTTTGGGGTGAACTACCCCTTTAAGACAATATATAAAAGTAATATGGTAAGAAAAGCCAATTTGCATTATCAAGAAGCGTAATGAGCTGTTTTGTATAGCAGAAAATACCTAGAAGCAAATGACTCTGGAGACCAGAGATGTTACATTTACAAATTTATCGTACACCCTGCTATTACATGACAAATAAGGTAAATAAGCACACTAGAGTTCAAAAATATCATTATTTTAATGTTATGATCATTCATATTCACTATTTTCATTATCATCAGTCATTATGTTTTTATTTTATTTACAATTAGTTTTTTGAGTTCTTTTTTAGATGAAGAATACATTAAGTAAGTCAGAAGCAATGCCATTACGAGTAATACAAAATATTTATTCTAAGCAATGGTGTCATTTCAAACTTTCTATTAATTAAATATGTAGTTCATCCTGTTCATCAAAGATATATTAGCAGCACCACTGTTTTTAACATCGGTACACTGTAAAACCCAACAGTCAACTTTATCACATAAAATGAGTGTAGTTAACTCAAAATTGACAGAAAGTTAACTCTACTCACTTGAAAAGAGTTTTGAACTCAGTGTTAAAGGTAATGAGTTCATTAAATACATCATTACTTCAACTTAAATGGACTAAGTTTACAGTACTCATAGATTAGTTTTTTTAATTACCTAAAATTGTTTGTAGCAATCAGTTTCATCAAATAGTTTAGGTTGCTTTAACTTATTAGGTTTTACAGTACTCAGTTGGTTTGAGTTCTCTTCATTTATTGGGTTTTACTGTGCTCAGATTGCTTCGTTTACTCAAATGGATTAAGTTCAAAGTACTCAACAGGATTAGGTTTTGAACTGTAATGGTTCGTTGCAATTGGTTTACTCAAATGTTTTGAGTTACCTTAACTTATTGGGTTTTACAGTGTAATGATAAGAGTCATTACTTGAGCACCAAAGCAACAAAACAATGATTTCCGAAGGACCGTGTTACAATGAACAATGGAATAACGAACAAATTCCCTGTGTAACAGCTCATGAAAATTCAGCTTTGCCTATGTACCTAACTTTAAAACACAAAAGACACTATCTAAATCTGGGACACTGATAGTGTTTTGACCTTTCATATGCAGTATTTGACTCCCCGTTTCCATAGTTGACAGGATCACAAATCTTTTCATTTCATCCCTCAAGCTAACCTTCATTCTCAGCTTCTCGGTTCAGTCATAAAAGCCATATCTGCCGGTGTTCCTCTATGTTGGGTTGGGTTTCGGGCTTTGTTTGTCGTCTGCTCTGGGCCAGGGTGTCTAGTTACCAACACCTCACCTTCCCATACAATAGTGGTGTTCACCCCACAGTTACAGGGAGGGGCTCCTTTCCAGGTCACATGTGGCCCAGAACACCTGACACTGCTGGAGAACAAATTCCATCATCTTTTTCCTGAATACAGCTCTAATAATTCTGTGTTCAAACGTTCCTGGACTGAGCAGAGCAGGGGATATTTACATAGTCACAATTAGATTTTTACTTTTTTTTTTAATTTTTAAAAATCTGAGTTTAAGTTGAGTTTTTTGAGATACTTTGAAAAATGTTGGTAACCTGTAGCCATTGACATCCATAGTAATGTATTTCTACTATGGCCGACAAAAGCTACAAATTTCCAACATTCTTCAAAATATCTTCTTTTTGTTCTATAGAAGAAATAATAATAATAATAATAGTAGTAATAGTAAATTATAATAATTTAATAGTTTACATTGATGGGTGAATTATCTCTTCAAGTACAACAATAAATTGCTGGAAAATGATTTTTCCTTTGTTAAAACATTTTTTAAAATATATTTGCGAAAAATAAAATGTGTTAGCCATGTGTTTCAACATGCTAAAGTGTTAGCTTCATGTGTATTCATATTAGCAGCATGTTAAAGAAATAATTTCACCATGTACTCATCCTCAAGTGGTCACAAATCATTTATAAATATTATTATTTTATAATATTACTCTAAAATGTATTCCCTAGTGTATTCCCCTGTGCTAACATATGCTAGAAACATGCTAGCAACATGCTAATTCATGTTAGCTTTGTGTTAAAACATTAGCCCTTAAAGCTAGCTCAAAACATCCCATGTTAAATGCCAACATGCTAATTTATTGTATTCATTCATTTTCCTTCAGCTAGTCCCTTTATTCATCAGGGGTAAATACAACGGAATGAACCGCCAACTTATCCAGCATATGTTTTACACAGCGGATGCCCTTCCAGCTGCAACCCAGTACTGAAAAACACACATACACTCTCGCATTCACACAATCATACACTACGGCTTATTTAGGGTAGGAGGAAACCCACACCAACATGGTGAAAACATGCAAACTTCACACAGAAATGCCAACTGGCCCAGCCAGGAATTAAACCAACAACCTTCTTGCTGTGAGATGACAGTGCTAACCACTGAGCCCGCGTACTGCCCGATAATTATTTTTATGAATTAAAACCTTCAAGCGACAGCAACATGCTAACAAACTGCTAAATGGGGTAATCGTTTATTTATACTTAACATTAAGTTCCAGAAGATTGTTAAAAGTCAGGTCTTGTTTTTTACTGAGGGCCATCTTTGAATAAAGAAGTTTGTTTATTTGTTTGACATTTGTCTTTACAGGTTCGTCCTCAGATACAGTTACGGAAGTTGCCAAAAACAAGAATGGTCAGGCATGGGCTGTTGTCCTTATCCTTGGCGTCATAGTGGGAATCATTGCTTTGGGAGCTTTTATCTTCCTGAATCGCAGGAACAGAAGAGACTTCTCACACAGCAAACTGGTGGAAGAGACGTCACCTGATCCAGGTAATACACAATCCTGGTCTCCTTTGGTTCACTTTGAACATAATATTTGAACATTCTTTAAACATGTAATAGAGATTTCTCCCAGCTGTAATGCCTTATATTCTTATTGTTTGTCTCATCTTTTCAAAGTTCTCCGACTGGATAACAGTGAGCCACTAGACCTGAAGTATGATGGATTTGGATACTACAATCCAGGACTACAAGGGGACAACATCCAGATGACCAACTTTCCACAGGGACGTTCAAAATGAGAACATCCTCGTCTGTGATGCCAAAGACACTTTATTTAATGCTGAACCCATGTGAAGACAGAAAGGATGTAATTAAGAAGTGATTGTCATTTTAAAGTGATTTGCCAAATCAATCACAAGGCAATTTTATATATCTGAAAAATCAACACAAGTTTTTAACTATAAGTAGTGCCTTTTCTTTGGATGCTATATAGACTTTAAGAACTTAAATTTCTGAGTACTTGGTAGATTTGTTGAAATCGCAAAGTTTTGGACTTTATTTCTTTTTTCCTGCTTATTATGTGAATAATTATTGTTTCATGTGAAATTTTGAATGTTTCTATCAAAGTTTGTAAATGTCAGTATGCAAGATAGTGTGAAATAAGCAGCATTATGTGAAATAATCAGCAACTCCTCTATACACCAATGTTTTACTCTGGAAGAAAATGTCAGTAAAGTGGTAGAAGATCAATTGGCTATTTGACATGTTGAGTTTTCTGACATAATACCTCTCTTCTGAGCCTATAATATTTGAAGATGTTTTTAGTTTACAAGACCTTGATGTTAAAAACTAAATAGAGAATTAACACAACATTTTCTCAGATTATTATAAATAATAGCATGTTAAAACTAGATTTGTCTCTGTAAAAAAGTGTGTTATTTAAAATATTGGAAGATTGATGTTATTGGTGAAAGGAAATATTGAAACAGTAAAAATGTTAATAATATACCACATGCTGATGCTGCCTATGTTTATACTGGACAGAGTGGTGTAAAAAAACAGTGTAAACACCACACTCACCACTTACTCACCCTCAAGTGCAATGGTCTCAAACACCATTCCAGCTCTGCATAGTTTTGCTCCACCTCAACTCACACCTGCTTACTAGTCCATGGTTTTAAACACCTTGATTAGTTGGATCAGCTTTGTTGGAGCAAAACTGTGCTGAGCAGCGGCCCTCCAGGAATCCAGTTTAAGGCCTACTGTATGCTCAAGTGGTTCCAAACGTTTGTGAGTTCAAAAGTAAAAGATATTTAAAAAATATGGCTACTGCTTTAAAACATTATTAAAATAACAAGTGGAGGTTGAACACCGGACAGAAGTTTTATTTTTAAGTGAACTATCCCCTAAAATATACCTACAACCATCGTTTACAAACCAGTTGTAAACTTTTTATTGCACATGTATGATATGTTGACATCTGATACCATTAAATATGAAATTTTTCTTCAAATAATTTAATATAACAAAAGTGTGCGTGTGATATTTTATTCCTATTAAAGCCTTCTTCTGTTTGTTTGATAGACAGTCTTCTTTCCAACCAGAATCACCGGTTTGAAAACTGGTTTCAAAGCTTCGTGAAATTTGTACATGCGTCCTCCAGTCCTGTAGATGGCGCAGATTTATTTAAAAACAAAACAAATTGCTTAGCACAGTAAAGAAGAATAGAGGAAATTGTATGTTGTTTCTGAATGTTATCTTAAACTTTAGCTGATTATAGAAGATCCGATCATGATTAAAACTGAGAAGATATTACATTTGAACAGCTCAAAGGGTAGGAAGGTTCGAGTGGTCCGGGAACATTATATGAGGGAGCAGGTGCCGTGCGGGAGCTCTCTCTGTCAGGCTGACTGTCAGAACGGTAAGAAGAGCATCACAACAGTCAAACATCAAAACAACATCAGACAAGACAGGGCTTTTATTATAGTAAATAAATCCGTATGCTAACAGAGCTAGCTAGCTAACGAGGGTTTAACCTAAACATATGTGACATTTACCTTCACGGAACTAAGGTTAGGAATTGTTAGCTTTGATTCAGAAAGTTTTGTCAGACTTAGTCTTTATCATTACAAGAAAGTAAATATGTTAGCGCTCACACAGCTACCTCTGGAATGATGTCAGAATTATGCAGACTCATACTACCATCCTAATATGCTGAAAAAGAAAAATGCTGGAAACCTGCAACCATTAACTTAAATAGTATTGTATCAAATGGTTACTGGCTTTTAGCTTTTCTTTTTTCAACAAATAATAAACTCTTTATTTGTTAAGGCTTTTTAAAACAGAACAGATTTTTCTTCTCTTCATTTGAAGGTCGCTTGGGAAGAAGACCTAGGGATTTCAGTCTCTGAGACTAATTTGGATCAATGACATTTATCTGTTTATTCATGTTCTAAAAATTCTTAACACAACCTTATTCAATACAAAGCATTACACAGACTTCACTATTCTAAGACAAAGCTTAGTAAACTCTATCCATTGGTTTCCCCCACATACGACAAGTGTAAAACTGCAGAGGGTACCTTAGCACTTCTTTTTTGGTCTTGTGTTCAAATTCAGAGCTTTTGGTTAGAAATATTTCAGTTCTTTGCTAAGGTTTAAGATTGTGTTTTACTCCCTGAACCAATGGTAGCAACTTTTGGCTGGTCAGATTTTCTGGAGACTCACAACCGAAATGTACGATCGGTGACCTGTTCAGTATGGCATGATCAATTATAGCTAAGAAAGTTATCCTTTGTTTTTTTTTTTAAGAAAAATATTAGGCCCCTTTTTTTCTAACTGTCTTCTTGGACTCGCCTCCACTTTACATTTGGAGAGAATTATATATACGAATTCTGGGGACCCTGCGAAATTTGATAAAACATGAGACCCATTTTTTCTTTCTAAAGCACCATAAAGACTAATAGTGTTGTTTAATTTCTGAAGGTTTGTAAGTTTTTTTCTCTCTCTCTTGAAATCCATTGCTGTGTCTTTTTGTAGGTCATATATGTCTTGTATGTCACCATTTTCCTTTGTTTCATGCTTTATTTTACGTTTTGCACAGATTATTGTTTCACGATGAGTTTGTCTTTCTGTTCCTTGTTTTTGTATGTCTGCCAAAACTATAATAAAAAAATATTTTTTTTAATTACAAAAAACTCATAAAGGTTTGAAACAAGTAAAGAAACAATAAATTAATTTTTTTGGGGGGGTGAACTATTACTTTATTGTGGATTTAAGAGTTTCAATTAACCTGATAATGTTTAGTTATTTACTATATGTTTTGGTGAAGGATTATATGTAATTGTTTTATTAAATAATAATATTTTATATGTAATATATGTATTAAATCTTTCAGTTGATTTATTTCATTTTTAATGACTTATGTTATTGGTGAATAATTCTCTATACTGTGTTACCAGTTCAGGTATTGAAATAATAAGGTTTTCAATATAATCCTGTTCCAATAGTTGGCAAAGTGCTGTCCAGGGATGTGACCCACTATGTGGTCCCGGATGTTGGAGTGGTTCGGGATTTTCTGGAGATCCTGGAGTTCAGGGAGCTTCAGGGAATCGTGTTGACCCAGACAGCTTACCAAACTGTTCAGCACACCCGTGGACGCAGGTCAGCCAATCATATATTAACTCTCACACCAGTTTCAGTCACAGTTTCAGTCAGTTTCATGAGTTAAAACAAAAGTCAATATTCTTGAGGGAAATTAGAAGGGTTGGTTTTAGAGGTTGCTCCCATAGTTGCATCTTGTTTTGTCTTGTGTAGGCATTATAACCGACTACGTTCTTTACTGAAGGATCCTCGTCACGATTGTGTGCTCTTTGCCAATGAGTTTCAGCAATACTCCTACTGCCCCAGAGAAAAGGGTGAGTCCCAGGACAAATGGCATACAAGGTGAGTCCCAACTGTCAACTGTTATCCATTGTTTATCCATTGAGAATAGAATATGGAACAATATTGTGCCCATTGTGTGCCAACCTCTGAAGTTTAAAGAGTATTGCGCACTTTGATTTTCAGTCCACAATAGAAGCATGCAGTGACATCATTTAAAAGCAAATAAAGCATAAATTGACCTTATTTAAGAAGTGAAGCTGCTTCAATGATCCAATAGACACTTTATAAGAAAAGAGACCCGACCTGCAGATTGTCCAAACATTTGATTACTCGTAAGAACTGTAAGTATTTTGTGTGTTCCAGAAATGTGTACAATGCAGCAGTTTGGTATTATAATCATCTGGCTGGACTCCAACCAGTGGTCATGATTACTGAAGACAGAGATGCTATTTCAGAATTTAGTGCTTCAAACAGTGGAGTTTTTGTCATTTCAACTCAGGTATGTTGGATTGGTAATATCTTTCTGAAGTCAGATTAGGTTTTTTAAATAGCTGTCCTTTTAACCATAAATTAATTTATTAATTATTGTCCTAGCCAGGCAAATATTTTTCTTCATTGTTATTGTTGGGCTCTATTTTAACAATCTAGGGTGCAACATCTAAAGCGCATGGCGCAAAAGCATTAAGGGTGTGTCAGAATCCACTTTTGCTATTTTAAGGATGAAAAAATACGTTCTGCTCCCCTGTGCATGATCTAACAGGGCTGTGCTTATTCTCTTAATGAGTTATGGGTGTGTTTTGAGCATAAAGTGCATTAAACCAATCAGAGTCTCATCTTACATTCCCTTTAAGAGTCAGTTGCGTCACGCCATGGCGCATTTGCTATTTACATGGCGGACTTTGTAAGTGGAAAAACCAAATTTCCTCACTAGCGAGAAAACAGTTAAAAAGAGCATCTGCAGTGCAAGGATAAAGAACGAGCCTCCTCCATTCAGCCTCTTTATCTTTACTTTACTTTTACTCTTTACTCCTTTACTTTTGTAGATAAGGAAACGGTGTTGTAACCCTCTCCACTGAAGACATTCATTAGCCTTATAATTAATTTAGATTGTTAAACACAAAGATTGTTTCAAGACTATTTATAAATTCAGTTCTAATTTCTTGCAAACAAATAAATGAACAATAATAACAAAGTGTGGTCAAAAAACTGAGTTATGTCAAAGCACCCCTCATATGCCCCATATGGTTGATGCAGACATCTCCAAAACTCAAGAAGTGGACAAATCTAAACTTGTTTTTATCAACTCAAATATAAATATGCATATAATGAATAATACTGCTAATAATAATAACATTATACGAATGCAAATTGTCATAAATACACTGAAAAAAGCATGGAAACATGGAAATTAGAGAAAATAGTAAAAAAAATGTGCCAAAGATATCTTGTGCCTTAATAGGCTGGGTGTATGACTGGGCCCCTAGTCTCTCAGATGGACCCTTTTCACTTTTCTGAGATTCATAGTTGGGTAAACTTAGTGTGCAGTTAATGGGAGAGTACAACATTTTTTATTTATCTTAAATCTTTTATTTATATAAAAAAAAAAATTTTGTTCCTATTTGCACAAAAAAACAGTAAATACTCGATAGCGTTTTTAGGACTTTCAGAAAGGGAAAAAAAATGTGTGAGACTAATAATGACAGTCAGAAGAGAGAACAGCATTAAATTTCTGCCTTACAAACACCTCGCGTATACGGCAATTTGTTTGTAACTTGATGCAAAGAGGATATAAAACAAAGTATAGCATTATACATGGATGTACTTCTGGATGTAAAATCTAAATATTAAATACTTTCAAGGATTTGAGATGTTGATGAGCATTACCATATTTTGAAAAGAGTTCATAATTCTACAGTCTGCTTTTGTAGATGTAATTAAATTAATTAATCAAATAAAATTGTCCATTTATTTATTTGCTTGTATGCGTGATCAGCCTGTCAGTGCAAAATTTGTGATCATGACTGGCTTATCACACATTATGCCATAAATTTCAGTGTATTTACTTAGCAAAATATTCGGAAGAGGTCGATTTATCCTAATTTGCATTTCATCTGTTTTGTGGTGTATTCAAAGAGCTCAAACACACTTGTCTATTAGTAACACCAATTCACTTCACCGCAGGAGTACCTGTTAGGTTTCTGGCCGGACCTGCAAGCTGCACATGATCTGTACCACTCCATTGCCCAGACGCTTCAGGAGAGAGAGAATGATGGAGCAGAGAAAGTGTACACTGAACACCTGCCTGCAGAGGTGCTGGAAGCTGGCATTAAATCTGGAATGTACATCCAGGTGAGTCAGAAATCCCACAGAAATGACACAAATCTCGTTTTTTGGTGGCTAACGAAAACTACAATGTCTCCACCTTAAGGGGATCCTCAGTGTGAACAAGCACCGTGCGCAGCATGAAGCCTTTGTCCGTTATGAGGGTTCAGCCAGCAAAAATACAGGTTCTGCAAACCTACTTTATTCAGCTGTTTAGATTTGACTACTGTAATTTGACTGGTGCTGTTTTTGATACTGATGGTGATTGGTCTTTGGCCTTTGACTCTGACTGTGTTTTCAGAGCTCAACAGTGATGTGCTAATCAATGGCGCAAAACATCGCAATCGAGCCGTGCATGGAGATGTGGTTGTCATTGAGCTGTTTCCCCGTAATGAGTGGAAGGGCAGGACTATGGCACTAACAGAAGGTCAGGGGGAGGAGCGCCCACTAGAGGACACACAGAGTCAGCCTATGCCCACAGGTAACCATATAAGCATTATAATTAGGCAAGAATCTTCTGAGGTAAATTCTACACACTGCAAACAATCTGAATATGAGAAAACAAATAGCGATTTGAGAAGATACAGCTGAGAATGAAGTCAAATGATCTGCTAGTGCAGTAAAATAATGATACTTGGTAAGATTTTTTGAATAAAGGAACTAGGCTTGAATAAAAATAATAATAATAATTAAAAAAATGAATACACACACACACACACACACACACACACGCACACACACACGCACGCACACACACACACACACACACACACACACACACACACACACACACACACACACACACACACACTTATATGTAGCATTGTATTTAGTGTAAATATTTAGAAGTGTAGCAGTGTATTTAGTTAATAGCATAACAGCATACATTGTATGCTTCCTTTTTGTGAAAAGATCTTAAAACAAGAGTTACTAAACTGAAGTTACTAAATTAAATTTCTCTTAATTTAAGAATTGTCATCCTGTCTTAAAATAAGCCAGAGCATTTTAACTTGAAACAAGATTATTTTTTATTAAATCAAAATGACACATTCATGCCTATTATCCACAATTTCTTATTAATATTAAGATTTAACGGTGATTACGATGCAAAATTACTGCTTGTTGCTTCTCTAAATATACTGAAGCTTCCTTCTAAGACTGGACTTAAATTATGTCTCTGATTGTATTAAGCTAAATTTGCAGGTAAAATCCCTAACTTTAAGCTTTACTAAGTAAGAAAAACGATATATAATATTAAAACAATCATAATAATTTTACTGATCCTGCATAGTATTTTATTCTTAAACAAGATTAAGAATACTTTTTGGCTAGAAATTTGATTGTACAGTTGAAGCCAGAATTATTAGCCCTCCTGAATTACAACCCCCCAATTTCTGTTTACAGAGAGATGTCCTTGCTCTGTTAAACATAATTTGGGAAATATTTAAAAAAGAAAAAAAAAATTAACCGTAACTCAATTTTTAACTCTTGTTTGAAGTTTTACCTCACTGTAGATGGATTGCTGTATAGGTTGCGTCTGTTTTTTAAACTTTCTTTCCTCACGCTCTTGCAGGCCGGGTGGTGGGAATTCTGCAGAGGAACTGGAGAGACTATGTTGTGACTTTACCTCCTTTTGAGGAGATGCAGTCCCAAAGCCGAAATTCACAAAAAATTCTGGTTGTTCCATGGGACTACCGAATCCCCAAAATCCGTATCAGCACACAGCAGGCTGAGGCGCTGCAGGTGGAGATATTCATTTATTACGGTTTCCTAGATTCAGGCTAGATGCTTTTATGCTAAGCCACATAGAAATGAGTACAGTACAGTTTTTGATTCTAAAAATAAAATACATTAGAAGAAACAAATGAGCAAAAATTAGTAAATGCTGTGCAAATATAAGTTAGTCAAATTCAATACACAAAGTGTCTGTATAATATTCAATGTAAGACCCAAATGAGCATTTTTATACGTTCAACAGATTGAACTGTTTGTCTTTCCTTTTTATTTATTTATTTTTTCCTTTTAAACCTGTTTTAGTACATATTTAATCTGTTTTTATTTGTTATCATTATTGTGTGATTATTATTTGATTCTTTTAACATTCTTTGTTTATGTAAAACCTGTTGAATGACCATTGTGTATTAAATGGGTTATATAAATAAACACTCACACTTTAGAATAATGGTCCATTAGTTAATGTTAGTTAAGGCATTTGCTAGCATTGGCTAAGCATGAGTAATTTTGCTTATTAATCATAGTTCAACATCTACTTATGCATTATTAAAATCCAAATTTGTGCCTGATAACATTAGTTAATGCACTGTGAGTTAACATGAACTAACATTTAACTTAAAAAATGTTAACTAACATTAAGAAAAATGACAAAATACTGTAAAAAATGGCTAAGAAATACTGTAAAAAATACCGTATAAAATGACTAATTGTTTATTCATGTTAGTTAATAATAATGGACCATTATTTTAAAGTGTTACCAAATAAACGTCCCTTGCCTTGAGTATAATTATTTAGAATGTAGTGCAGGGAGTTTCTTATATGCGCTAATTGTTTGTAGGACCAAAGAGTGATTGTGCGTCTGGATTCATGGGAAAGTACTTCAGTCTACCCAAATGGGCACTTTGTGAGGGTTCTGGGGAAATCAGGCGAGCTGGAGACTGAGATTCAGACCATACTGGTGGAGAACTGCATTCATGTGCCACCTTTCTCAGAGGCGCAGGTGATGTCATAGTTTCTGCATCTGATTTGAGTCATTTCGAATGCACACATTGTGATTTTTGCCCTATTAAAAGAGAAAAATCTCAGTAGCAGGTCTTCCAGAAAGGTATAATCCTGTTTAAAATCAGTGTTTTTGAATGTGTCTTTAGCTGCGAGAGATGCCTGTTAATACAGAGGAGAACCCATGGCAGATGGACAGCAATGAGGTTTCCTCTCGCCGGGATTTAAGAGACTCTCACCTGGTGTTCAGTATTGATCCTAAAGGCTGTGAGGATGTGGACGACACCTTGTCTGTGCGGACTCAGCCTGGGGGAAAACGGTTAGAGCTTGGTGTCCACATTGCTGATGTGACTCACTTTGTCAGAGAGGGCTCTCTAACTGACCTGGAGGCGAGGTCCAGGTATGGAGACTTTCCAGTTATTCAAAATGTGATGATTATGAATAATGTAGTATATTATTTTTTTGCGTAATTATAGTGAGAATTTAAGACGAATGTTTAATGTGTTTTATAGTCATACTTGCATACAAAAAAAATGTAGGATTATTCGTACAGGGAGAATATGCAAACTCCACACAGAAACGCCAATTGGTCCAGTTGGGCCTCAAACCAGCGACCTTCTTGCTGTGAGGTGATAGTACTAACCACTGAGCCACCGTGTTGGCATTTTAAGTTTTAATTTTAAATAGAAAATATGTAATCTTTCTGACTTTTCTGTCACTTTCTTACATTTTAATGCACCTTCACTGAATAATGTCTTGAAAACACTTTTAACTGACTGTAGACTTGGGAAAAATCTTTTCACATTTATGTTGTGAGTGTGCAGAAATATGTGTATCGATATATTAGATCTGTGAAACAGCATCTCTTGGACAACCCAAGCAGCTCTTTGGTGTAGGTGATTTAAATTTTTGATAATGTGACATGTACAGTACACTACCCGAACAGATTGATGAGTACCTTCAGTCTAGAGATTTGAGGTTGTTCAGAAACAGTGCTCAACTAGTAAAGAGAAGAACTCACTTTGAATGCATAACAAGACCCCTATAAACAGTGCTTTTTATGGGCTTGATTTTAATTCAGATCAGTCTATTTGTTTCCCTAAGGAAAAATCAGTCAAGTTTGGTGAAGGAAAAATCATGGTTCAGGATTGCATTCAGTATGGGGGCGTGTGAGAAATCTGTAGAGTGGATAGCAACATCAACAGCCTGAGGTATCAAGACATTTGTGCTGCCCATTACATTATAAACCACAGGAGAGGGCAAATTCTTCAGCAGGATAGCACTCCATTTCATACTTCAGCCTCCACATCAAAGTTTTTGAAGCAAAGAAGGTCAAGGTGCTCCAGGACTGGCCAGCCCAGTCACCAGATTTAAACATTATTGAGCATGTCTGGTGTAAAATGGAGGAGGCATTGAAGATGAATCCAAAGAATCTTGATGAACTCTGGGAGTCCTGCAAGAACGCTTTCTTTGCCATTCCAGATGACTTTGTTAATAAGTGATTTGAGTGATTGCAGAGATGTATGGATGCAGGCCTCCAAGCTCATAGGAGTCAAACACAATATAATACAATAATTCGTTTTCCAATGCACCATGACTTTATATTCTATACTGGACATTATTTCTGTTAAGTGACAAGACTTTTGTCTGAGCAAAGTCAGACCTTACAGTCCTAATTAAATAATTAAAAATCAAGGCATGATCATATTTTATTTTGGTAAAATAAACGTAATCTAGAGACCTTTGCCTTTCATATAAGCCACTTCTGATACCAAATGATCAACTAGAAGTCAAGTTATTATTTGTTGTTCCTGAAACTTTGATAGACGACAAGACTTTTTTTTCAGGTAGTGTACAATGCACAAAACAAAACACTTTTCCCACAGAAAAAAAACAAACAAACAAAAAATTCCTGATAGTCAATAATGTTATTGATAATGTAAGTCATGAAAATGTATACCTATTTAACTTACAGGCTGTAGCCCTATATCTCCTATCTGAGGGCATCAGCTCATATTCCATTATAGAGAAAATGACATGGATCAGTAATCATTTTAAGGCTATGATTCTTTACAGACTCTAAAAAAAATATCCTGACGGAAAGGTAGTGACACTAACCATTGCTTCTTATTTCAAACCAGGGCAACCACTTACTACCTGGCTGATCGCAGATATGACATGCTGCCTGCGGTGCTGAGTGCTGACCTGTGCTCTCTGCTGGGAGGGGTGGACCGGTGAGTGGCACACAGACTGAAAAAGTGACCGTGATACACTTCTGGAATCTGAATGATTTGACTTTATAGAGGAAATCTCTCTGTAATATGTTCAGATATGCCATGAGTGTGCTGTGGGAGCTGGATGCGGAGACTCTGGAGGTGTGTTCGGTCTGGTTTGGCCGTACTCTCATCCGCTCCTCGTATCAGCTTCACTATGAGCTGGCCCAGAGCCTGCTGAATGGGGAGGAGGTTGAGGTACCTGAGCTAAACCCACTCAAAGGCTCACAGCGGGACCAGAAAATGTCAGAGCTCCTGCAGGCTCTGGAGACCCTGACGAGGGTGGCAAGGCACCTCCGGGCACAGCGGGATAAAGGTGGCGCTCTGGAGTTGGAGGGGGTGGAAGTGAGGGCTCAGCTGGATGAGGAGAAGAACATCACAGCACTCGTGCCCAAACAGCCACTGGAGGTTCACGAGACTGTGGCAGAGTGCATGATCTATGCCAACCACTGGGTGGCACGCAAGATACAAGAGAGCTTTCCACATCACGCTCTTCTGCGTCACCATCCACCACCCAAGCAGGAGTTTTTCAATCACCTGATTGACAGTGCCAAGGCCCATGGTTTCAGTATTGATACAAGGTAAATATTAATAAAAAGGGAAAAGATAAAGTGTGGGGTAACACAAAGAGATATTTGTGATCATTAAGGAAATATGTACAGTTGAACTCAAAATTATTCACCATCCTGTGATTTATTTATTATTTTTTAAATATTTCCCAAATGATATTTTCCAGGGCAAAGACTTTTTCACAGTATTTCCTATAGTTTTATCTCCTGGAGAAAGTCTTATTTGTTTTATTTCGGCTAGAATAAAAGCAGGTTTTGGTTTTTAAAACCATATTAAGGTCAATATTATTAGCCCCTTTAAGCTATATGTTTTCTCCAATTGGCTACACGACATACCATTGTTATTCAATGATTTGCAGAGTTACCCTAACTTACAAAGTTAGCCTTATTAAAATAGTAAAATATTATTTACTGTCATCATGGCAAAGAGGAAATAAATCAGTTATTAGAAATGAGTTATGAAAACTATTATGTTTAGAAATGTGTTGAAGAAATCTTCTCTTCGTTAAACAGAACTTGGGGGGAAAATGTACAGGGGGGCTGATAATTCAAGAGGGCTAATAATTCTGACTTCAACTGTATTATTATACTCATTTCTTTCTGGAATTGACAATTGAAAAAGTATATTTAAACACAAATTTACCATTATCAGCAGAATTTAGAGACTATTTCAAATTTTTAGCTCAACCATTTGAGAGTAGAAAGCATAGCATTGTGTCATTTCGTAGGCAGCAAATTATATATTATTGTAGACTGCCTTCCAAAATAAAAAAACGAAGGCATAATAATAATAAAGCTATATTTATTTTATAAAAACATACAGCTAATTTAATGCAATTTAAAATGTAATACTATTTTGGCAAAGCAGAATTTTGAGCATCATTACTAAGCACAGCCTTTAGTGACATGATCATTCAGAAATGATTTAGATATGCTGATTTGGTGCTTAAGAAATGTATTTTCTCAGTAAAGTTGAAAATAGTTTTGCTGCTTGAGAAAAGTAGAAATTGCTACATTTTTAAAACAGCATTTATTTTATATGGAACTAACATTATAAATATCTTTACTGCTGCTATTGATCTAAAGCAATGCTGAATAAAGGTGTCTTTTATTGTACTATGTGAATTTAACAATTAAATAAAACCTATAAAAATAAGTAAAAAATAATAATATTGTATAGATGCATATTTATGTGTCTGTTTACATTATTTTAATTAGATCAAACAGGGCTTTGGCTGATTCTCTGGAACGTGCTGTGGATCCTCGGGACCCCCTGGTGAACAGGTTGTTGAGGATGATGGCCACCCAGGCAATGTCTAATGCCCTTTACTTCTCTACGGGATCCTGTCCAGAGGAGCAGTATTATCACTATGGTGAATGCTTTTCATTATCTTACTATTTTAGACCTAGTAGCTAAATTTGTGCTGTCAGTAAAATAATATCCTAACACAAATACATAGGAATGAATGACTACACATATGAAACCCATTCTACTTGATGACTAGTCTAGTTTTGGGCTATTCTTAGACATCTATTCGATTTTTCACTAACAGCCCAACTTTAGGCTCATTGTGGCCCAGCAATTGAAGTTTGTAGAATTTAAAAATGATTTGCCCATCTGAAAAAAAGGGGCCTAATAATTTTGACCTGAATAGAACTGCTTCTATTTTAACCAAAATGAAACAAAAAATACTTTCTTCAGAAGAAAAAATAATAATATAGACAATACTGTGAAAAAATCCTTGCTCTGTTAAACTTCATTTTAGAAATATTTGGAAAAAAAAAAGGGAGAGCTAATATTTTTGACTTCAATTGTATGTTTCGATGTATATTAGACATCTATTAAACACCAAATTGCTTGGTGTTCAAGATAAAATCAGGTATAAATAAGTTTTGCTGTTCATGTCACCTTCAGGTCTTGCTCTGGCTCGATACACTCACTTCACCTCTCCAATCAGACGATACGCAGATGTAATAGTTCACCGGCTGCTTATGGCTGCCGTTCAGCTGGAGAAAGACGAATCGCCAAGCAAAACGTTGGCCTGTAACAAAGAGCTTGAGGAGCTGGCTCAACACATCAACAACAAAAACAGAGTAAGTGGCAGCCATTGGTGTTCAGTGTGGCAGTATTTTAACATTAAAGAATAACCCTCTGTTTGTTTGTTTGTTTGTTTGTTTGTTTGTTTGTTTGTTTGTTTGTTTGTGTGTTAGGCAGCGCAGCATTCACAGAAGCAGTCCATTGAGCTCTTCCAGTGCATGTACTTCAGAGATAAAGACTCACACACAGATGAGCGCTGTGTGGCTGATGCTGTCATCTATGCTGTCAGAGCAAACGGCTTTCTTGCTTTCGTGCCACAGTAATAATATGCTTATATAATACACCTGATTATACACGATACATTAAGATACATTTTGTTGGATCAGATTAGAATTTGAGAAAGGAAATCCAACTGCATTTACACTTGGTGTTTAATTAGTCTCTGATGTCCACTTTTGAACACTTTCTTGATTTCTTTGAGGCAGGGTCTATGGGTGGACATGTGTGGGACTTTTCAGACCTTTCGATTTAATATTTAAAAAATAAGCTCATGCTTTTTTTACTGAATGCAATATGATTGGACAAAAATCCTGACTAGCAAGAGATCATTATGCTTTTTCAATTTGTCACCTTTAAACTGAAAGTATGAATTCAGGTGACAAAGTTAATATCCTGTCTCTCAAACGTGCTCCAACAGAATGCACAAAAATATTTAAGAGTTCTTTTGCAGCAGTTTGATCACATGAGCATTTACAACATTTAAAAGCAGATTGATTTTTAATTTTTGACTACATCTGGAAATGTGAACACAAACGTTTCACACACAACCTTTCACACTCCACCTGAATTGACAAAAATACATTTATAACAAAGTGTAAAGCTAATTTTGCACATTGTTTATATCAAAGACATTGTTTAATACTGTTTAGCAGTTTTTCTTTTTAAAGCATTAGTTCAACCAAAATAGAAAATTCTGTCATCATTTACTTACCCTTCATTTGAGCAAAACGGTTGAATTGTTTTGTTCTGTTGAAATTAAAAGAAGATATATATTGAAGAATATTTGAAACCAGTACCCATTGATATCCATAACATTTGTTTTCCTACTATGGATATCAATGGTTGCATTCTTCAAAATACCTGTTTTTCAACAGAACAACAACAAAAAAAAAACTCATCCAGTCAAGCTTGAGTAAATTATGACATTTTAATTTAAATCTTAGGGTGAACTATCCCTTTAAATATTTAGCAATTCCATTCATTTCTGTTTCGTGAAGTTGAATTTTCTGCATCCTCACAGAAATAATTCTAATATGATGAATTTTGGTGGACATTTTCTGAATTTTCTTAACCTTAAAGCTCAAAAGAACTGCAAAAGAACAATGGGAAAGTCATTAGTATCACTTTTGATCAATTGAATGCATTCTTGCTGCAGAGAAGTGCTGTCTGAAATGTTCTTCTAAAATGAGCGGTTTTCTCAGCCTTCTGTTTATGACCAGTTATTTCACTTTAAAGGGAAGGAAAAGAACCTACTTTTTGCCGTAAAAGTGAAATTACTGCGCCTACACACGCAAAATCCTGAGAAAAATGCTAGAAGAATTTTAAAAGAACATTTCAGACAGCACTTGAAGCCTTTTGCATCTGAACTCTTCAAATCCAACATTTAAAAGGTATTGTATGCCACAAAAAGCACATGATGTTCGAAATCAGGTTACTAATGTATTCTGTTCCCACAGGTATGGTTTAAAGGGAGCTGTGTATCTCAAGGACAGAGAAGGTCAGGTGATCAGTGTTGATGGAGATGGAAAGTGTGAGTGGAAGCCTGGGACATTGCAGAAATACTCAGACAAGATCATCACCAGCACGAGCACTGGAACCCATACCTTTTACCTTTTTAACCATGTTACAGTAAGTACGTGTACATCACGGCACAAAATCCCATTGTTCATTCATTCATTCTTTAATTTTCCTTCGGCTTAGTCCCTTTATTAATCAGGGGTCGCCACAGTGGAATGAATCGCCAACTATTCCAGCAAATGTTTTAGGCAGCGCTGCAGCACTGCAGCCACCACCCATTACTAGGAAACATCCATATACATCACATTCAAACACACACTCATACACTATGGCCAATTTAGTTCAGTCAATTGACCTATAGCGCTTGTGTTTGGACTGTGTGCTAAACCAGAGGAAACCCACGCCAACATGGGGAGAATATAAACTTCCTCATAGTCCATTGCACCTTTCTTAAAACAGTCATAGATACTTGTTTGCTACATCCACTGACGTCTGTTTTTCCTCTTGCTTTTGTCTCTTCGTCTTCCTCCGCAGGTTCGTATCTCTGTTGAACCCTCCCGTTGCCATGCCGACAGCCTAAATCTGGAGCTTATCAGCAACAAGCCCCACTGCGCTGTGCAACCCGAGTCTCAGCCAGCTGGTGGAGGACGGTCTGGGCTGGTTGAAGAGGTGGTGCGCTGGGCAGAAGAAGCCTCGCTTCAGGCGGAAGAGCAGAGAGGGAGGAAACCCAAACTGAGCAAAGAGGAGAAGCAGTTCAGACAGAGTAAAACACCTAACCTCTATGTCCTCTTACAGGAGATCAGTGAACTCGCTCTGATGGATCTGTCCATCTGCCAAATCACTAATTCAGAGGAACAGACTTGCACTGTGTCTTCTTAGCCTATGTTGGTGGTGGTTCTATTGTTGACTGGACAGAATGTTTTGCACTGAGAGCTTTTGGGATGGTTTGGTCATTTTTGGTAGATTCAGACCTTGTGTAGAGCTGCATTGACATGCATAGAGATAAACTAGAAAACATTAAGGACTAATTAATCCAGGCTCCTTGGATATATTTTTGGTGTTCTCAATTGCATTTGATAGAATTCTCAGAATAAATAATATGACTGCAGATTGTTTTGTTTAGGCCCATTTTTTGAAAATTGTTTTTTTGCATTGGATTGTCACCAAAACATAAAATACAACAATCATGTTTGAAAATTCAGGAAATAGAAAGTCTTTTTCAATGTTTAAAATGCTAAAGCTTTTAAAGTTATTTTCTTATGGTGCTACAAAGGAAAAGAAAAAAAAAATGTGGACAGTTGAAGATTTATCTGAAAAATCCATTATGTATGATGTGCACAGACCAATATTCTGAGCAGATTTCTTTTTTATATGATCATGTCTTTTGCTATTGAGGTTTTATGCTAGATGTCTGTGTTTGTACTTATCTGAATTTCTGGTAAAGCCCAAACTCTACAATGTTTGTCTGATGCACATGATTTACTTAAAAAGTGCAGTGCTACATAAATGGCATTATTCAAAAATGGTTTGCTACATCATCTTTATTCAGAAAATGAGAAAGATAAACATACTGTAACTGACAATAGTCAACAATGTGATCACAAACTGATTTAATTTTCTTTAAAAATGTAAAGGCCAACTTCAAAAGCTCTCTTTGTTGTGCAGTGTGTGCTAACTTTATGACATTATAACAAACTCCAGCCGACAACAAATAAAAGGACTGCATATTACAATCTATAACAACCTGAGGAAGAGACGATGGAATATGTTGTGAATATTTCAAAAAAATCCTCACAGAGGATAAAAGACATCATGACAAAATACAGACTGAACCAGATTTATGTGTAAAACCAATCAGAGGTGATCAAGCTTCAGACTGGCATTATAAAATGAGCTGCAGAAGATGTTTGGCATATGACTGGGAAGATTTTATGATTCCTAAAACACCCTCATTTTATTCAGTCCTCATGAACTAGTTGCACTGTTCAATCATCATCATCATCATCATCATCATCATCAATGATGCCGTTAGCAATATGGCTGCTGCTCTCATTATCATGTAAAGGGGACTCCTGAAGTTCAGCTGGCTTATGTTTGAGTGGAGTTTGGTTTGAGGTGGTTTTGGGGTTCTCTTCACTGAGGAACTGTCCTGAAGAGCTGGTTGATGGTTCATCTGCATCTTCCTGGATGGAGATCGGCGTAGATTCTGTGAAAATAATATAAACAAAGCTATTAAACAACGTTATGAAAACGAGACTGGAACAGTTCAAATTATAAATGTATATATTAGTAAACCCAGGGTTTTGTTTCACAACAACCACACATCACCTAACCACAGAATGACCATTAAATTACATTTTGCAGAGGCCAGGATAATGACTCCACGAACCTAACTGTTTCTGCTTGGCAAGTCTCCTCTCCAGAGCCAGGCGTTTGTTGAGCTCTATGCGCTGCTGCTGTTCTTCAGTAAGAGAGGCTGGAGCAGGAGTCGAATGAATGAAAGGATCTTCTGGGAAACCACCGTCTCCACTTGGAACAGACTCTTCTGGTACTTGAATTTCAGCCTCCTCTGCTGGAGAGTAGAATGTCAGTGATGCAACTTTACAATTTGACATGCTGGCTTCCAAAGTAGTGTAAAACAGAGAATAGCAGAAAAGCAGAATTACCAACATAGTCCTCGTGCGTTATTGGCATGTCCAACCGAATCCGTTTTAGACATGTCTAATGGAGAAACAAACACCAGCATTAAGAAAGGACTACTTTTATTAATGATGTAAAACATCATGTTAATGGTTTTTAAATTATGTTAACTCTGCTTGGATTAATTATTGTTCAGCCTTAAATACAATCCTGTTAAGGGCTGCCTGACAGGGTATTCAAACAGGATGATTTCTGGCATGAACTGAACAGAAAGTGTGTATAGGTGTGGAACTTCCAAATACCAGTTTTCTCCATTAAGTGAAGAGGAACAAAATAACTGTATTAAGTTCTTGGCAGTTGAAGTACATTGTATATTAGTGTATAGTATATAGTGCGTCAACTGGGACACATCTACACTAATATGAACAGGAATAATGGTGTTGTTTTTTTACCATATCAACTCAAATTCCTGATCCTTTCACAAAAGTGCACTGTGCAATTGATTGTGCATTGTACTTAAGAACATTGTACAAAAGTGAATTAACTGTTGCCTCAGGCTCTAGATAAGATTGATTTATTTTTCATCAAGAGATATAAAAGCAGAAATCTCACCTGAACTTCTTTTTTGCCTCCCAGATTCTCTACTTTATCGATGAACTCTTCAAACTGCATTTTAGGATACAGGCGATGGGCCCAGTTTTCCATTTTCAGCATGAGCAGCTTCAGATTCTCTGTCTGAATCAGAAATAAGAGGGTGAACAATGATAAATAATGATGCATCTATTGTATATACTAAAAACACCACTAGGAAATTATCTGTACTCATATCATAGAATTCAAGAGTATTCAACCGAAAATCAGTTAGGATGAAGTGAAAGATCAGCCATTAAGAGATGGAAGATGGAAACTGCAGTTTCGTTGCATTGTACTTGTGCATGTGTAATGACAATAAAGTTTAATCTAATTACCTCGTGCCCTTTCCCTTTGAACTTAACATCTTCAAATAAAGTTCGCAGAGCTGGAAGACCCTTTTCAGAAATCAACCTAAAACAGAAAAAAAATAATAAAAATAAGTGAATTGTAAACGCCATAAAGATCCATTCCACTGCCATCTCCTAAAATAAATAAATATTAATAATACAACGAAATCAGCATCTAGTTTAGTACCTGTTAGCATCCAGTTTAGGCCTTGGCCTCTTCACTGTTCGTCTTTTTGCTACAGGCACTTCAGCTAGTTTTGACACTTCTCCTTCCTCCTCACCTAAACACACACAAAAAAATGTGTTTCATTTACAGAAACATCACGTTCGTTTTAAGAAGTTTTAACATGACATTAAAAAACAGACGGAAGCTGTCAAGCTTTGTTCAGTCTAAACTCTAGTTAGCTTGATCTCTCTTCTGAACATGCTACCAATCCATACTAGAACTGTATTAGAATTTGTCAATTAAAAAGGCGTTTTTTTACTATGGCCTATAACTTATGTTGTCTGCATGGTTTGTATTTATGTTTTTAGACATCTTTTAGAATACTGTACAGTAGGGCTGCACAATATATCGTTTCAGCATCGATATCTCAAAGTATGAATCTGCAATAATCACATTGTAGGATCTGCATTGAATTGGCCAGAAAACACAGTTCAGACTCTGAGCATGTGATTTGTGGAGTTATCGCAAAGTTTAACTCTAATAGTGAAAGATTTTTATCAGTGTTTATTATTTGTATGATTGTATCTTTCACAACTGTATTTAATTATTTATACAATGAAGATTATATAGTGTTATTTTACATTTAATTATTGAATTTATGTGCCTAAATACGGTTAGATTTCCATAAAACATGTTTTTTTTATTTGTATCTTTTCTCTATGCTTATTATAATATATTATATAATATATTATGCATGATTCATTTCCCTCCAAAATGATCCCAGTAAATCTAAAACTATGAATCATGTCTTAATAGAGTTATAATTCAATTTGTGAAATTATATTCACATTGCGATATACATCACAGACAAACAAAATATCGCAATGTCTGTTTTTTTTACCAATATTGTGTAGCCCTATTGTACAGCAAATTGGTTAACTGTAGTTGTTTCTAATTTGCTCTGTAAATAGAGATCTGAGAATTGTCACAATTTTGTTTTCAACCATGGTAGGTTTGTGTGATCACACTGACAGCTATTTAACCCACTGCTGCTAGATAACAACTGTATAGAAGGTGGAAAATTGAATGCCTGCTTGCTAGGTTCAATTTTACAGACTGAACTGACCAGAACTGAGATATTAATTATTGCTGTTTGCATAGCATCAATCAAACTTGATATGAGTACACAAATAAATATGCAGTTTGAGTAATTCACACATGTGATCAATGATGGTTTACATCCATGTACTGGGTTCACACTAGAAGCATGAACTTTAAAACTGTTAAGATAAAAAAGAGCAATACAAACCCTCTGCATTGCCAAACAGATCATCCTCGAGTTCTGCTCGGCCAGGTGATAATGGAGGAGGGAGAGGAGGGAAAGTTTCATCTTCTATCTGTTCATAATCTGGGATGTCAAACAGGCCATTTTCTAATGGATCAATCATGATCCTGGAGAAGAGATTGGAGCATATGAGCAACTTTTGTCACTTTATGAATATAAAGACATGATAAAATAATATCACTGTTCTACAATAAATAAATATCCTGGAATCAGGTATCACCATCTACAGTTTGGGTTCTCTTAAAGTCCAGTCAGGCATTAATTTCATATTCAATTTCACATTGTATTCCAATTAAAATACTTCCTGTATGAGAAAACAAATGTTAAATTAATGCCAACCTCAATGATCATTTGAAGTGGATCATCACGTTTTATCAAAGTTGTCCTAAAACTATTAAACAACAACCAGTCTTGTCCAATTACATTTTTGACTCTCTTTGAATGCTGAGTCTGACTGTATATTCGGATCTATAACGTTACATCCGAAAAAAGCAATGGTATAAATGTTAAAGCGTGTCGTTTAGAAACAGAAAGCCACAAACAAACTGCAGTTATATTATTAAATAGTCATGACGTGCTCACAGTGTTTATTTAGCAGGAAATGAATGAGCAGACGATTCTGGCTCCATAAACAACACAAAACAACGTCACATTATTCAGCTACTAGGCGTCATCCATATCATAGCGACTCAAAGACAGCCAATTAAGCTCACAGCACATAAAGTTTAATGCTTAACTAATACATAACTAAGCAGAAGAATTAATCAGACAAAAGTTTTTTAAGCTAACGTTACTGTTTACAGCAATTTGGCGCCAGACACTGTCAGATTCATCGACGCCCTCGGTTTCTTCCATGACTACGAACTCAAGCAATGTCGCTGTCATTATAATGAAAAGCTGAATATCAGTGAAGTCCATCGTACTTACTGAATATGTACGGTGAATAAAAGAAACTTCAACAGCAACCGCGGCACGAGGACATCGATACAGTCTGTGCAGAAGCAAAGTTTCTACCGGCGGCTTTCCCTTCAGCCAATCAAATCACTGGAACGGTGAACGTCAGCGGTGTTGCAGCGTCGATTTTTTGCGTGAGCTGACGAGAACTGCGCCATCTAGCGTTGAGGAGCAGTGGCGAACTGGAGTTCATCACAACAAAACATTGGACTGAGGTACAACAACAAAAAAAGCACCAAAATACGTTTAATGCAGGGTTTCAACCTTTATTGAAAGCACAGATCTCATACATGTGGATCTTATACTGCAGTGTATGCGTTAAATGCTGGTGGACTGAATTTTATATTTGTTTACAAGATTTAAAAGCACATTTATTATAGCATTTATGTCATGTTTGTCTTTGTCACATATACAAACGCCATTGCTATGTTTAAAAATACTTTCAGAAAACTTCCACCTACATTTTTTCACCTCTTTATCAAACACCCAAACCTCAACTTCTTCTCTGTGTAATTTGTTGAGAGATGTTTGGTTGGTCCGTCAATTCATGAACGCAGAAGTACATTTGTGGACCATATTATGTGAAAGCACATACAAACAAGTCTCTATTTGTCATAGTTAATAATAAAAATGTATTAAAAGGAGAAATGCTGCACTGACACATGCAATATGAAAAGTCAATGTGAGTGTGTCTGTTTTACAGCCGTGTTCTCAGCAGAAACATGAGGAAAACTGCACTGAGGAGAATGCAGAGAGTGCACACTGTGGGGATGACAATCTCTGTGACCATCTCCATGTGGCCGATCAATGGATCTGGAAAAAAAACACACAGGTATGTCAGCGAAAACTAACAGAAGACTCTTCATTGTGCTCTGTCCAGAAAACAAGTGAAACCTCCAAAAATACCAAGATTTCAGCCCTGTACCTAAACTTCATCATGCACAGGCCAAACCTTTGGCATATCTGCATGTTCCTTGGACTTTCTTCTAGCTGAAAGGGCAAACAAAAGAAAATGAGAAAGTTATAATTGATTTTCTCTGCATGTTGTGTTTGAATATAAATAGATGATGCAAATTGAGACAGAATTTTCTTTTATTTGCCCCAGCTAGATCAATGCTGGTTGTGTTACCCAGTGGAGAGTCAGCAATAGTTACACTGACCTGCCGCAAGGAGCTGGTTACTTGAGGTGCATGTTTCCAGTGACTTTCTTTTCCAGCTTTCAATCTATAGGGAAAATATTCAGCTTTAATAAAGCATAGGATATCAGCTAAAATATAATATGCAGTTTATCATACAATGGTTAGACTTCTCTACATAAATGAAATGAAAAAAAAGTTTAAATTAATTTAGGGTTCAATTCTAATGCTAAATTAATATTGCAGTCATACCTCTCTCTGATTGGGGAAACCATTGGAGCTGATGATGCGCTTATAGAACTGAACTGATGCCTTTGGGTAGCGTGGCTTATTTTTGCTCCCAAAGTCCACATAATAAAGGCCGAATCTTTCAGAGAAGCCCTCATCCCACTCAAACTTGTCGAGTAGTGACCAAGCTGTGTAGCCTTTCACATTCACTCCATCTTTAACCGCTGAATGAAAGAAATGGACAAAAGATATAAGGAGTCATATAATTTGTAACTGCATCTGCAACCATTTTTTTTTTATTTTTAGAGGCTCCAAAAATTCAGATTGTCATTCAGTTATGAAGTTCTTGAGATTGAAATGTGCATGTTCTCAATGTTTTTGGGGATCAGGTTGAATTTGTATTTTACTTGAAACATCATTTCTGTGGACACAAACTGTGTTGCTTTTTTTATTTTTGCTTTTTAAATTAGCATAAACTGGAAGCATTGATATACAAAAAAAATAAAAAGATTTTAGGGATGCATGATGTATCAGTGGCCGGCCGCATGAATATCGGCTAAGAAGTGCTATTTTTAATGTTGTCGGCCCGGTATCAAAATTAGGCCGATATCTTTAAGCCGATAAATAAAGTATATGTACAGAACTGCCTGCCTTATAAGCACAAGAAAACCTTGCGGGAGTGTGGTAATAAAAGTGTCAATTAATTAACAGTTATACATTACTGGAGCACTTTATTTAAGAACTTCTGAGCTAGTTTCATCTCTTAGCTCTTTCATTTTCACTTTTATTTTATTCAATATATATTTATTTAACTTGTTTGTTAAATAAATCCAGTTTTGTCATTTTAACTATTTTTTTGTATGCAACAGTCAAGTTGCACGTTTATTAGCTATGCGAAGGAAAATAAATTATTTATTTTTTGCATGCTGATTTATGTGAAATCATGAATTTAAGTCTATATAATCACTTTAAAATTATTGTTTGTCTTTGATTTGAGCATGCTATTCTAAAATCAGTTCAATTTTTATGAAGTTTTTAAAATAAAATAAGTTGTTACAAAAATACAATTTAAAAAAAATATATGTATATTTATTGGCTAATATATTGATTATCAACCTCCAAATATAAAGGTTCATTGGTAACAGCCCAAAAACCCATATCGGCGCATTCTTAAAGATATTTATAGCTGAGGAAAAAATTATAAGATCATGTTGAACTTATTTCATAAAGATCTGATAACATTTTTTTTTAAATTTCAAACAGAACAATATTGACATTTACACAACGGATGTCCTTCCAACTACAACCCATTACTGGAAAACACTCATACACTCCCATTCACACACATAGACTACAGACAATTTTTAATTTACCCAATTCACCTGTACCGCATGTCTTTGGACTTGTGGGGGAAACCGGAGCACTCAGAGGAAACCCATGCAAACGTAGGAGGAATATGCAAACTTTGGGGTGACAGCACTACCTACTGCGCCACCGCGTCTCAAACACCAATTAAAAAAAAACTGGTCTAAATAGACATCGATTTCTGTTGATTCTGACCTTTGAGCATTTCATTGATGTAATCCCTGAAGTACTGGATTCTCCACTCATCACACAAATCTGTGCACATCATCTTCTCTGATACACCATTTCCTGTCACATATATAATGGGGTCTCCATACTGCGTCTAAGGATAAAAAAAGGCCAGCTTACTATTCATGTTCAAATTACTCACTATCAGCTGGAAGTAGTTTTTTAGAGATGTGTAAATATACCTTTACGAAGCTCAGCAGACGGTTGAAACCCCATGGCACTGAGTAGAGCCACTCTGATCCAGGATCAGGCCAGTTGGGGTCGACCAGCTCCGCCAGATCTCGGTCGGTGAAGTAGCTGTTTCCTCGGCTGGGGAGAAAGTTCTTCTGTGTGATGTAGCGTGTGGTGAAGTGACTGATGCCCAGGAAGTCGCACGTGCCTCTGATGTAACTCTTTTCATGAGGATTAAAAGCAGGCAGACGAGAACTGCTTAAGCCCTGCTGGGCACTTTTCCTTCCTGCAGAAATGAAATGAAAAAACGCTGATGCAATTCCATGCAAATTATTATCATCTACCTAATAACTGTGTGCTGTATAACTGAATAACACAGGCTCATTGAAAATATGCCTCAGCCTACATTTTTTTTGAAACGTTAAAAATGTTCCCCCAGCTATGTTTTGTTGCACGTTTCAGATTACAAATCCACTAGGCACTGTGTACATTTTTGGTGAGCTAAAATACATTACTTAGGGTACATTTGTTTCATAAACAAATCTCGTTGGTGCGATAGCCCAGTGGTTAGAGCGCTGACATATAGCTCAGCAGCACTCTGGGTATCCTGAGCTCGAATTCCAGCTTATATATATATATATATATATATATATATATATATATATATATATATTTTAAGCACTTTTTTTTACAATATGAGGCTTGTTATACAGATTTCTTTGGGAACAACTGACTGGAACCCTTCCATGAACCCAACCAATAGTATTTTCAAAAGGAAATAAGAAAAGTGCACTTTTTTACCTTAATTTTACATTGACTTTACTGTATGTCTCTTGTGGAACTGTGCTTCCCCAGACTTAAACCCGAGTACTCTGCATCACAAGTACAACACTGTACAAAATGACTTAACAAGCAAACTGACCATACCAGAGGTGTTGGGCAAAGAACTGCACAAAATGATCCTTTATTCGTTGATAATATGCCCCTGTAAAAATCATTGCTGTGAAAAGGAACAACAGCTGTTGGCATCATACTGTACAGGCAGTACTGCTTAGAGGAAAAGTTAGGATGATTCTAAGAGCCCACACCGTTTTGGGGCCCCCAGAGATACTATTAAGAGCTCACCAGAACCCAAACCCACTTCCCGGCCCCCCAACCCCTTTTTGCTTTATACCTTTTGACACCCACAACATGTTTTCATAGGGCCCATACCGGCCAGCGCTGCCCCTGTACTGACCCATAGCATTTGTTTTTTTTACCTAGAAACTGCCATCAAATCTATGTTGAGGTACATATTTGCAGTTTCACAAAAATGTAGTCTGAGGCATATTAATTTTGCATTCTTCGGTTTGTTTGTGGTTTTCTACTTGCCTATGTAGTCTTTCATTATTTGAGGATAGTCTCCGGTAAAGAGTGGCGTGGCAAACCAGCCCAGGTGGAACTGAACGTATCTTTCGGCAGCTTCTATATCTCTCTGGTTAGTGACATCCACTGGTTCTCCCCAGTCAGCTGACAGGGAGATGCCCACCATACCTGAAATGACAAAAACACTTATACCAGTTTGGACCTATGTGCTGTAACTAGCTGAAATATGAGTTTTGTGCCAGAAAAGTTTCTACCTTTCTGCTTGTTTCGCCATTGGGTGTCATATGTGTGCCAGACTTTAGCATGAGCCTGTTGGTGCAGAGTAAACAACTTTCTCATTATCAGTACAGTGATTTTATTTGGTTATAGATTTTTGTCATCTTTAAATGCATACTTGTATTTGCATTTTATTATTAACATTTGTTTTTGCTCTGTTGTATTAGAGTATAAAACAACACAATGTATTGAATTGCTAATTCAACTTGTAAATTATTTATATTCCTTATTTGTTATGGTTATTACACCATAGTGGACTACAGTGGATTTGAGTCACCTTGATGATGTTGTGGGCAGCGTTATAGGCACCATTGCCCCTCATCTTCAGACCAGGAGCATGTTCTCCAGTCTCGTAACCCTCTACTGCAACAGACTGGAAACATGGGAGAGAAAACAAAGAGTAGTTTTGACTTAGAAAATAAATGAATGTTTCTCAAACAAGCAATAGCACTTCTGGCAGGTATCATTGTTTGATTGTATTTTTACAAAAGCTGATGGCTATGGTTTTAGCAAGTTAGCAATAGTCTTACCCAAGGGTTGTTGAATGTGATCCAGTGTTTGACTCGACTGCCAAATCTCTCAAAGCAAAGGTTTGCAAAATCATTGAAGAAGCTGATCATACTTGCGTTTTGCCAACCTCCATATTTCTCCTCTAGAACCTGTAAAGGCACAAGTACGGTTTTTTATTCATTCATTCATTTATTCATTCATTTTCCTTCAGCTTAGTCCCTATTCATCAGGGGTCGCCACAGCAGAATGAACCGCTAACTTATCCAGCTTATGTTTTACACAGCGGATGCCCTTCCAACTGCAACCCATCACTGAGAAACATACTCATTTACACTCATACACTATGGCCAATTTCGTTTTTTCAAGACACCTATACCGCTTGTCTTTTGACTGGGACACACACCGGTGAACCCGGAGGAAACCCATGCCAGCATGTAGAGAACATGCAGACTCCACACTGAAATGCCAACTGGTCCAACCGAGACTCGAACCAGCAACCATCTTGCTGGAAGGTGACAGTGCTAACCACAGAGCCACGTTGTCATCTACGTTTTTTTTTATATAATTAAGCAAAATATAAACTTTTTTTGAACAAAGATTTTTGAATTAGGAATTCAGTGTCTGCATCAGAATATGCATGCTTCCCTACTATATAGTTTTAAAAACATCTCACCAGGAAGGATTTATTAAATATTGAAGTGAAATTTTATATTTAATGTTTTTAATGTAAAATTGAAAGTGTTTTTTGTCTCCTATTGTTGTCCTGAAGTTTTCGTTGTAATTATGCAATATGTTCTGATCTATATTGATCATGCTTTTCAATAGCTATAAACTCCTTATGTGACAATACATAAAAAACAAACAAATCCCTATTATGTGGGTAGATAAATGTACTGTATGTACTGTAATTCCATACATTTGTGAATTTATGGTATTCGATTCCAATTTCTTACTACTTCTGAATCTAAAACTATTTCACATTTTGATGAATTAGCGAATAATTAATACAACTACACACTAAAATGCCAAAATGTGAAATACTGTTATAAGTTAACAATATTTTACATGATACTGTTATAAGTAATGCAGTTAATAATGCTGTACACATGTGATGAACATTTTACAATCCCCTTATGCCACAGGAGATAATAACAGTGAAGCAACACATCTAGCACTACAAGATAACATGACAATGATAACATGACAGTGACAACATGTCAGATATGGTGCTTGCAAGTTTCAACCCTATATTCATAATCTTACATACTTTTTAAATTTGTTTTTGTTTTTAATTTTTTGAAGCAAGTTTAAACTAAATGTTGCACTAAATATTTTATGCAGTTTTGGATGTGGTTTTACCTGAGGTAAGTCCCAGTGGTAGAGCGTCACAATTGGTGTGATCCTGTTCTCCAGAAGCATATTAATCATGTTATCATAGTGTTCTATCCCTTTTTCGTTGATGTAGTCAGCTAAAAGACAATCAAACAACTCTTGGTAAAGATTCTTGTAATAAATAAATAAAAAAAATCAATTTTGACGTCATTAACGTTAATTACTCCTAATGCCACTGGGCAGAATCCTTGGCCAGGAAATGGAGAAGAGGTAGTGGTTCAGCTTCATGTCTTTCATCAGTGAGATATCATCCTAAAACAACAACAAAAAAACTGCCTTAAAAACCAGAACATCTACATACATCATAAGAGTTTTCTGCTAGGTAAATTTTAGCACCTTGATCTTATAATAGCCATTGCAGGAATAGTCGCCGGTGTCATTCCGATCAATTTTCCCTCTCTTGTGAGAAAAAATATCCCAAATGCTTTTCCCTTTTCCATCTTTGTCCCATGCTCCTTCTGTCTGATATGCTGAGCTGCCAGCGCCCCAAGAAAATCCTAAAAATGCATTAAATCACCCTTCCCTATATTAATATAACATCACATCACATCTTGTCATATAATATACTGTAATATGCATTTTATATATAGCAGTGGCTAAAAGTGATATTTAACCATAGAACATTCATTCCTTGTTCTCTGTTATTTTGATGTATATTTTCAAAACATAAACACAGTTGTACTTGGAGAGTGTAAAACATTTGATATATTTTGCAGTTCAGTTGACTAATGCATGATAATGCAAGCAAATATGCTTACTGATGCATGTATAGTAGAATAGCTCCTATTCAAATACAAGGAAACATTAATTGTACTGTAGCAATATAGTTTTTACACACTTTTCTATGCATTTAAAACCTTAAATACCTTAACAAAGTTAGTGTATTCCTCTTCCTAATATGACCTGTTTCTCATATGTTGAAGGTTTATTCAATACAGTTATAAAAACAGAATATCGTACAACTTCCCTTCCAGATATCACTTTTAGCCACTACTGTATATGCATCAAATATATCGAATCCTGAAAAATAACCTCTAAAGTATGGACAAACTAAATCGTTGGGTAAAATCAGTGTTTTTAATAAATAATTTTAAGCATATAGTTGAATAATATTCCACAATTTTTGTTTCAGTCATGTAAATAGACTTAATTTTTATTTGCTTCATAATTTAATTATGAATGACTTAATAATTACTTTATTAACTGCTTATTTTATGTTTCATTTGTTGCAAAAAGATCATAAAATATATATTTTTTCTGCCTAATCATTTGATAGATGAACAGATCATTCTATGTATTCTTGTTTGTTGTTCATAACACACATCTGTTCACTATAATTTGTAAGGGTTTTGTACTATATATGCTTAACTGCAGGACATTTTGGCACAGTAAAATAATCTTAAATACCTTAACAAAGTTAGTGTATTTTTCTTCCTAATATGACATGTCCCTCATAAAATGAAAGGTTTAATTCAGTGCAGTTATTAAAAGCGAATATTGTACAACTTCCTTTCCAGATATCTTTTTTAGACTACTGTATATGCATCAAATATCAATCAACTCTGAACATTAATCATCAAAATATGGACACACTAAATCATTGGGTAGAATCAAAGTGTTTTAAACAAATAATTTTCAAGCATAATTGAATAATATTGCACATAAATAGACTTTAAATTATTATTATCCCACTTTATTCGCTGCTTATTTTATGTTTCATCTGTTGCAAAAAGATCATAAATTTATTTATTTTTTCTCCCTGATCATTTGAAAGATGACCAAATAATTCATGTTTGTTCTTCATAACACACATCTCTTCACATTAATTTGCAAGTGTTTTGTGCTATTATCGCTTTACCTGAAGGAAATGTGCCATATTGAAACGATCCCATTTCATTCTTGGTCCAGTCAAAGACTTCACTTGCAAAAGTGCACAGTGCCAACAGCAGAACAGTGCATATCCTCAGCACACCGTTTCGTTGCATCCTCTTACTCTCACAGGGTCTGTTTTTTCACCAGTAACACCTGTACAGATAAAAAAATAAATAAAAAAAACAGACTCACCATAAGAAAAAAATATTGCAGTTGTTCAAGAATTAAATGAATCTATACTGAGAAACATAGTAAGTTAGCCCTTATTCCAAAATAAACATACTCTGAGTGATTAGTTTCCAAAGCACTTGGAGCTGGGGCATATCAATCACGCATCCCAAACTAAAAAGCTGTCACAATCCACATGCAATCAGCCCAAAATCCAGAATCCCAAACCCAGACCAGACCAGATGAATTAACTCTCATTTCAGCCAGCTATAAGACAAACTGACACAAAACGCCACCAGAGACAACAAATAAGCCAGTTTGTCAAGAGCTGCCAATAAGAAAGACATCTCAGAAGTGTTTATCCTGAAGAGAGGAGATGCACGTGTCTATCTGAAGGAGAGAGGATGAGAAGACGATTAAAAAGGTCCCTTCTTTTCCGAGGCTCCAGCCGCTTTGCCCTATCTCAAACCTCTCTCCCTCCTCTCGCACGTCTAGATTGGCACTCAAGCACAAATACATGTATACCTGCTCCAGGCCTCACATTTGTCTCAGCTGGAATCCACTCCAAAGTGCCAGAAGGTTACCTAAGCTTCTGAACTTCATTCACCCGCACAAAGCTGCCCGGTGCCTGTGTGCCCACAAACACAAAGCAGCAGAGAAGCATCTAGTAGATCCGAGCTCCATTCAGGAGCCACACACAGGCCCAAATACCCACCATTCAAATTCATTGGGCTGAGAGGGGAAAAGTGCTGCACCTAACATGTTTTATAGAATTCAACATTTGACTCTGTAAGCAAAGTTGATGTTGGTGTGCCTGATACATTTGCATTTCGGCCTTCATTGGAACAATGGATAACATATTGAAAAAAAAAACTATAAACAACATCTGAAGCATACAGTTGAAGTCAGAATTATTAGCCCCCCTTTGAATATTTTTTTTTTTTAATATTTTCCAAATGATGTTTAACAGAGCAAGGAAATTTTCACAGTATGTCTGATAATATTTTTTCTTCTGGAGAAAGTCTTATTTGTTTTATTTCGGCTCGAATAAAAGCAGTTTTAATATAAGTTTTTTTTATTACGGTCAAAATTATTAGCCCCTTTAAGCTATTTATTTTTTCAATAGTCTACAGAACAAACCATCATTATACAATAAATTGCCTTTACCTAACCTGCCTTGTTAAACTAATTAACCTAGTTAAGGCTTTAAATGTCACTTTAAGCTGAACGGAAGTGTGTATATGTATGTACAGTATTTAAATGTTTATATACAGTAGCTTTATATACATGGGAAGAGTAAAATAGTTAACTTGAAATATCCCTTTTCTCTATGATTGTTTTTTATGTAGTTGAGTGAAAGGTATTTTTTGTTTTGTTTTGTTAAATACTTACAATATTTCTTCCAAATTTAAAATAAAAATGTCCTTTTTGTTAAAAATAATAATAATATGAACACTTTTTATTTATTGGCACCTTTCAAAAAGGACACAAGTATTTAGAAAAACATAAGCATAAAAAAGCATTTTAAACAGCATATTAAACCAGCAGAGTTAAAAGATTTTCTAAACAAAAATGATTTTATCTAAGATTTAAAAGTGGAAATTGTTTCCAGCTGGTTTATGTATATAAAATATGTAATTAATTATAATAATTTATGTAAATTATTAGACAACATAATAACAATGTTTTAATTTCAGATGAGTTAAATCAATTTAGTGAACTAACCTTGATTTTCAGTCACAAGTTACAATTGTTACAACTGTTGTAAATTTAAGATTTGGAAGATATGATCAGATCCTTATAAAATAAATCAAATGGATACTTAATCATTAAGCCTAGTGAAAAATGATTTCCAAGTGGTCTTTAAGTAGTAAATGGGGAAATATACTTCAGCGTTGATTTGTTAGAGGAAGTTTTCAGTTAATGGATATTATAATATATAATGTTATGTTCTTTTTTAATATATATAAATTAGCTTGACTGTCGTTGTGTCATTGTTTTATGCTTCTAAACACGTCCCGCAACTGTAAATTTATAAAAAGTTGTAAGTACAAATCTTATTCAAATATGTAGTATATTTTTCTTGAAAAAAAAAACTTCATATTTTATTTAGTTTATCATTTTATATATATATATATATATATATATATATATATATATATATATATATATATATATATATATATATGCTTGCAACATTCTAACATGAATGCAATTACAACATCCAAAATGAATTGTTAATGAACTGTGAAAAGAATGCTGAATTGTTTCAGAAAGTGTTGGCACTGCACTCTCCAACTGTATGTGTGTTGCATTCCCGTATGTGTGTTTAGGTGTGTTATGAAGCAGATTTTGTTCAATGTAGTTTTTGGATTTTCATGTGTGTTTCCTTGCATGTGCTACCCATGTCTGTGTTAAAGCTTTGTATGTGCACATTTGAGTTACTGTGTGCACATATAGCTAAAGGCTTTGACAAAACATAGCATACTGTATGTGTTTAGCATATCAATACACAGACGGACTACAGAGAGAGCAGCAGAAAGAGTATGAGCATTCTAGCACTCCCTGTTTCTATCTACCTGCTGTATTTAAGGACCATCTTAGTGGCTACTACGAGCTGACATGAACATCTTTACTAAAGTCCCCGGACTAGCCCAACAAGCCAGGTATGTTTGCGTTGCATGTGGAAATTTTGTGTACTGAGTTTCAGTCAAAAAAACCTGTCCCTTCAAAGAAGACTGTATTGAAAATTTCAGAAAAGGCATATTAAAGTCACACCAATATCTGTGAATCATTGCAGTTTGTAAGTTGAGTAAATATGTAGTTCTGATTGTTTTCAGTATACAGCAGAATCCTTTAACATACTATTCTGAATCATTTGGCAAATCATTTGGCTTCAAGCATACACTAAAACATTCTGGGCTGTTTCTACTAATATTTAGATTAAATATAGACAAAGCCTACAGCAGGATTTGTAACCCCACTCTTGAGTTTGTTCATGTTTGACTCAAAATTGGGTTGACACACTTTGTTTTATGGGAAAAAAAATATTCAATGTAACTTTAATTGAAAAATAATTTCATAAATATTGGATAGAAAAACTCCAAAAATACAACTTAAAGCACATTGTATAAAAAAGAATTAAAAAAAAAAAAGCTATCAGCTTCTTTCATACCATATTTTATGAGTGTGTTTTATTTTGTGCAAGTGTTGTGATTGAAAATGCTTGTTATAAAGAGTATTTGATTTTTTTCCTTAGCAAGCTGGGGTCTGTGCTCCAACGTGCCTTCTACGGGTCCAGTGGGAGGGTAAGAGTTTATTTTGACAGTAACATTTTATCTGTAAACAGTGGCTCAGCATCGAGCTTTATGCTGATAAATAATAATATATCAATATAAAAGTTTCTCATTTTCTGTGTAATGTTTGCTATTCTTTACATTTCTTCTCCTGCACTTTTAGTTGTGTTTATAATAAAAGGCATTTGGAAAATTAGCTGTAAAAGTTTGGGGTGTTACTGTATAATTTCTTCTTTCTTTTACACCAAAATGTCATCATTAAATACTTAATGTAAGTATTGTGTGTCTTTCAGGTGACCCTTTTCGAGCAGAGGAACTTTGCAGGTCGCCGACTGGACCTGACCTCTGACTGTCAGAAATTGAGCGATAAAAACTTTCCTGACAGATGCAATTCTGTCCAAGTAGAGAGTGGAGCGTGAGTACATGGCATTATTAATGTCACATGACTTCATTTTAACATTTGTAATCATAAAATGTTGAGGGTGTTGACTTTATATGCATTGACATATGACGATTGTAAAGCCAGGGTTAGTAGAATAAGTTTACATATAGTTGCAAACTTATTTATAGTTTGTAGATTATCATTTAAGGACCATATAAAATACAGTGATACTTTAACTTTTCAATTATATTTCAGTTTTTTCCATTTAGCTTCATGAACATGCATATACAGTTTCAAAACAATTGTGAAGATTGTGATGTATACATTGTGAAATATACAGTAGTTTAAAGTAGCTGTGCAAAACTGCACTAACCTATTCCTGACATAAACTGGCCTATAATATTTGCGACATGTTCATTTCAGTAAATTCATGTGTACATATATTAGTTCATACAGATGTCAATTTTGCTGGAAGTTTGCTGGAAATTGAACAATTATCTTATAATTTTTAGCATAATGCTTCATCAATCTAAAATTTGGAAAAGCAGTGGGGAGAAGAAGTGTTTAAAAATTGCTAAATATGTTGAACCCAGTTCTCAACATAAAAGTCATACCCAAATTCTTAAAACCATAGAGTACGCCACATTTTGACTGTCAATATTTCAAAAAACATTTCAATATAAATTTTGATATTCAAAAAAGAAATTTCAAATAATGACATTTTCCCAATGCAAGTCTCTTCATATATGCTTTTGTGTGTAGATGGGTGGGATATGAACATGACAACTTCCAGGGGCGTCAGTACCTGTGGGACATGTCTGAAAGAGGGGAGTACAACTGCACCGATAAATGGTGTGCTCAGGGTGACCACATCTCCTCTGTTCGGGCTGTGAAACAGGTCAGACACACAGTTATAGTCGACACAAGATAAAACAACATTCTTACAAAATAATTAGTTAAATTTGTGTATCTATATGCTGGTTGTAAAATAAACACATCTTTAATTTGTAATATGTTTGCATGTGATTTGTGGTCTAGGACACCAGCTCTCCCCGTGCACAGCTGTTTGAGAGGGCAGGTTTTTCAGGCAGGAAAACAGAGCTTCATGATGACATTCCCAACCTGATGACCCGTTACAGTCTGAACAGAGTGTCCTCCATGAGAATTGTGGGTGGAACGTAAGTACATGTCCACTTGAGTCGAAGAACTTCCTTTTTTTTTTCATTCGCTGTTGCCATTATGAATGCTTCATATTTCCCATCTCTTCCCTGTGACTGCAGCTGGGTGGCGTATCAGGAGCCAAACTACAGAGGAGCACATTACATCCTGGAGAAGAAGGACTACAACAGCTTCTCCGACTGGGGTGCTCAGAACAGCACTGTTGGCTCAATTCGCCGTGTCCGCTTCAACTAAACCAAATCCCCACATCCGTCAGCTCTTTATACAAACAATAAGCCAGCTCCAAATGAAACAACCTTACAGAAGACCTATTTTAGTAATAAACTGATGAAAAAGACAAACACTGTTGCATGTGCTTAAATCTTATCTCATTTAATTACATTTATATTGTCATTAGGCATCCTTTTATCAAAACTTATTTAGTTAAAAATGAGAACATCAAAAGTAATCAAACAATAAAAATTTAAAGATTTAGTCTATAGCAGTATACAATTCCTGTGTGTGTGTGTGTGTTTGTGTGAGTAAGCGGGAGACTTTGGCCCACAAAACAAAATATATATATATTTGGTTTTGCTATATATGCTCTTATAACTAAATTAGTCATAGTGTATGTGTGTGTGAATGAGTGTGTATGGATGTTTCGCAGTACTGGGCTCCAGCT